TCAGAGAGAAAGAAAGGAAAAGAAAGGTAAATTTTTTATTATACGGTTTTATTGAACAACTACTTTAATATTTCATTATACGTTTGTTGTTAGTATCAGTAACATAAATATATCCATCCTTAGCCAGTGCTATACCATATGGATTAGATAATCCTGAGATTAATTTAACTTGTTTTTTGTCAGAACTCAATGCATAAACACAAGAATCACTACCACCCTTGTAAGCCAATACTAAGACATGTCCATCATCATCAATTGCAACTCCTTGAAGATAAGTAGAGCCACTATGAGGATTATTGTACGTATGAAGATGAGTTTTACCATCAGGAGAGAAGATTTTAATATGATTCTGATAAATGGTAACGTGTATCTTTCCTTCATTATCAACTGCTACATCAGTTGCTTGACCATCACATTGTATGACTTGTACAAATGTACCATCTTCTTTAAACACTTGTACTCTTTTATTGCTGTAATCAGCTACTAATATATTACCTTTACCATCAGTAGACATACCTTCAGGACGAGAGAATTGTCCATTTCCCTTACCTTTACTACCAAACTGACCAATATACTGACCAGTAGTAGCTGAGAAATACTGCACACGATTAAGACTATAATCAGACACATAGAGTCTGTCTCCTACCAGCAATAAACCAAAAGGAAAATTAAACTGTCCATTAGCATTACCTTTAGATCCAATCCTTCTTACTGCAGTACCATCCTCATTAAATACCTGAACAAACCCATCATTACTACTAGCAAATACTTCACCATTGGTATGAACAGCAACACCATAAGTATCATTCCCCACATTAAAGGATCTCTGGTTAGTTAGTGTGGTATAGTCTCTAGATGCTTTTACTGACAGTTGATAAGGACTACCTTTAATATGGTGACCTCTTATAGTCACTGATAGTTCATATCCACCAATACTTTGAGCTGTGCATGATACAATGGCTGTGTTGTTATCATTAACTATAACAACTCTACCCTCCTCTTTACTTCCATCACTTTTGATAAAGGAACCCTTCAAATAGCTTGCTGCTTTACCAATGCCTGCTGGTAGAGCCACTTTGAATTTCCTTTCTTTCTTTATTGTTGCCAGTGGAATAGCTAACCCACTATCAATGGAGTATGCATCTATATCTACCTCAGAGACACTTCCAAACTCATTGATTTCTTTATTTAAAGTAGACGTATCTAAACGTGTTAAAATGGCTCCTTTGTCTTCTATTTCTAGAGGTATTTTCTTATACTCTTCAATGCATTCCTCTAGTTGATTGGTGATTAGCTTCTTAACACTTAGAACTTCACCTGAATCAGTACGCTCACTCACTGATGATGCAAGATGACGACCATGAGAAACCTGTTTTACCAGTTTATAAAACCCGTCCAACTGCTTCTCGACTAAATTCTTCTTAGCACTAGCAATCTCTTCTGTCTCCATTAGTAGATCATTGCATCTCTTATCTAAAGCAACTTTAAGCTCTTCAAACGT